CCATTGAGAATTGGTCAGCTCCAAAGACGCCTACTAAAATTCGTCAATTTCTAGGTCTCGCTGGCTACTATCGCAGGTTTATTCAGAACTTCTCTAGGATCGCGAAACCGCTTACTACATTGACCCAGAAAGGCGTGGCTTTTGACTGGGAAGAGAAACAAGAAAAGGCATTCTAAATGTTGAAGCGAGCCTTATGCAGCGCACCGATACTATCCCTACCAGAAGGGATAGAAGACTTCGTGGTTTATTGCGATGCATCAAACCAAGGGCTCGGTTGTGTTCTTATGCAACGAGGAAAGGTCATCGCCTATGCCTCAAGATAGCTAAAGACACACAAAGTCAACTACACCACACATGATCTTGAGTTAGGAGCAGTGGTATTTGCTCTGAAGATCTGGAGACTCTACCTGTATGGTACAAAAAGCACTATCTTTACAGACCACAAGAGCCTTCAAAATATTAGCTGACGCCCTAAGTCGGAAAGAATAATTTGGTCATAGAGTCAAATCATTGACTATGACTATCCATTCACATCTGTCCACACAAATTAAGGAGGCTTAGCTAGAAGCCTTGAAACCTGAAAATGTGGCGGGTGAATCCCTGAGAGGGATGGACAATAACTTGGAAGTCAAGAGTGGCGGAGCCTTGTATCTCGTGGATCGGATCTGGACTCCGAGGCACGGTGGTTTCAGAGACTTGGTCATGATCGAAGCGCACAACACTCGATATTCCATCCACCCAGGTTCAGATAAGATGTATCTGGATCTCAAAAGGTTATACTGGTTGCCTAACATGAAAACAGAGATTGCTACCTTCGTGAGTAAGTGTCTTACTTGCGCCAAGGTTAAGGTCGAATACCAGAAACCCTCAGGTTTACTACAACAACCGGAGATATCGGAATGGAAGTGGGAGCGGATCACAATGGACTTCATAACCACGTTGCCTAAGACAACGGGTGGTCTCGATACCATATGGGTGATCGTAGACAGGTTAACAAAGTCCGCACACTTCCTGCCTATCAGAGACACTGACAAGATGGAGAAACTAACATGAACCTACATTAGGGAGATTGTACGACTGCATGGTGTTCCCATATCCATTATCTTTGATAGAGATAGTAGATTCACTTCAAGATTTTGGTAGTCGCTACAAAATGCCCTGGGAACTAGGCTGGATATGAGTACAGCCTACCATCCGCAAACCGACGGACAAAGTGAGAGGACTATTCAAACTCTGGAAGATATGTTGCGAGCCTGTGTGATAGACTTTGGAAAGGCATGGGATACTCATTTACCCCTTGTCGAGTTCTCCTACAATAACAGTTATCACATAAGCATAAAGGCTGCTCCATTTGAAGCCCTCTATGGCCGAAAGTGCAGATCCCCTCTGTGCTGGGCTGAAGTGGGTGACACCCAGTTAGCTAAAGGACAAGTTCCTGACAGCACTCTCACGGGTCCGGAAATCATTCGGGAAACGACATAGAAGATCGTTCAGATTCGTGAACGATTGAATGCCTCTAGAGACCGACAGAAAAGCTACACAGACAAGAGAAGGAAACCTTTGGAATTCCAGGTTGGTGACCGTGTTCTATTGAAGGTCTCACCCTGGAAGGGCTTAATACGCTTCGGAAAGCGTGGGAAGCTAAATCCAAGATACATAGGGCCTTTTGAGATTCTCGCTAGGATCGACCCTGTAGCTTACAAACTCAAACTACCTCACGAACTTAGTAACGTACACCCTACTTTCCATGCTTCGAACTTGAAAAAGTGTCTATCCGATGAGACTCTTGTAATCCTACTCGATAAAATCGAGATCAACGAGCACCTCAACTTCGTGGAAGAACCAGTAGAGATCATGGACCGTGAGGTCAAGCAAACGAAGCAAAGTCGTATCCCGATAGTGAAGGTTCACTGGAATGCCAAGCGTGGACCTGAATTCACTGGGGATCGGGAGGATCAAATGAAACTGAAATATCCTCATCTTTTCCCTTAGTTATCTGCATTTGCTTAAACTCTAATTTCGGGACGAAATTCCCTTTAACGGGGGGATGATGTGACAACCCGAAATTTCTATCTTGTAAAGCCAATCAATTCAATCAAAATTCAGATTTTTTCTGTTAACTTTTAGCTTTGTTAAGGGTCTGTTTGAGAGTTCTAAGCCTAGTACACTCAAGGAGTGTGTGTTATGAAGTATTAACTTGAGATCATTGAGTTGCAATTGAGCCGGAAACACCTTCACAAGGAGTTCACGTCCGCAAACTAGGTTCACGGCCGTGAACCCATGTTGGCCATGAACCCCTCTTAATATATATGGTGTTCCTTCATTATTTCTTCATTTCTCACATCTTCAAGTCTAGAACTCTCAAAACTCTCTCAAGTATGATCAAGAACACCCTCCTTTCTCTTCAAAATCGTAAGTGATTCTTCCATATTTACTTGATGTCCTTCTTGTTCACGTGAAGCTCTTTGATTTCATCCATGAATTCCACACTTTTGGTTTAGCTCTTCAAATCATCATATTTTCACAAAGAACACCAAGAACACACACTTGTTCTTGGGCCGTAAACTCCCTAAAGGATTCCAAAACGTGAGCATCTCTTCTATCATCTTGTTATCCATTAGAAATACTTGATTCTAACCATGAAACAAACACTTATTTGCATGATCTTCAAGAGTTCACGGCCGTGAACCCTTCATGTGGCCGTGAACCCTTCATAAGATCTTGATGTGGCCGTGAACCCTTCATAAGATCTTGATGTGGCCGTAAACCCTTCATAGGATCAAGTCTTGGCCGTAAACCCTTCATAGGATCAAGCCTTTGGCCGTAAACACTTCATGTGTGGTCATAAACTCTTTTATGGCCGTAAACACTAATAGTGTGGCCGTGAACACCCTTACATCAATCATATGTGATTGTAACACTTCATTTCAAGTGTTTCCTAGTTCCTAAGGTTGTTTACCTTAGCATATTAGTTGTTATATAGGATAATTATATACATATATGTGTCATTATATGCTTAATAGGATCCGTTTGTGCTCGAGACTTCACTTGGCATACTTAGCATCCTATATCGATCTTACATTTGAATCACTCACTACAGGTGAGTTCATACCCCTAAACTTATCTTTTAATGATTTTAAATGCTTTTATGGGGGGAATACAAGTAGAAAACAATATAGTTATAGTATCAATCACATGTGATTTATAACTATCAAACAAAAGGATTTCTTAGACTTTAAAACTGTGTTATCAAACAAACTGTTTCAAATCATTTTATAAACTGACATCAAGTCATCAATAACCATTAAAATGGTTAAAACTCTTTTTATATGATAAACTCTTTATTGTTTTACAAAACTCTTTTAAACTTATATATTGTCAAAATCATGTCTATATAGATATAGTTATATAAATAAGGTTGAAAGGGCTTAGGACTGATAACTCGCTTTATTTCCCGTTCCTTGTTTGGTTGTGGACTTAGGCTATCGGTTGTTTGTCCGAGTGTCGTTTAAATCTTAGTTATATATTATGTATATGTATGTAGATATAAAAGTTCTTCCAATCAGTTCAATACCTTTGGGTAGCAAAGGTGTACAAACATGATCAATCATTCAACTACATAGCTTACTAGTAAACTATAATAGGTATAGTTTAGAGGATTACTACTTACTATTTCTAGAACAATGAAACTTACAAGAGTCAGTTCATACATGAGTCAATTCAAACATACTATAACAAGAACAGAAAGAACATACTATAACTAGAACAAGAAGGAACATACTATAACAAGAACAGAAGGAACATACTATACACTAGAACAGAAGGAACATACTACAGTAATACAAGAACAATATAACATTAATGTGAGCCAATACTTCATGGCATGGCAATATACTGTTGTGTCACGTTTTGTAACCAGAGTCTCCTGGAGGGAGAGCATGAGTTTTTGTATATATTTATACGGGATTCACCATCCTACACCTTGCTGCTAGCTACAGTGGGACCTGCAGGTCTACGGGTGACAAATGTCATACCATTTCGATGTATTTGGAACGTCGTGTTTTATACTAGTCAATCAAGCATGGTTATAACCTCATCACATTTTACCTTCATTAAACAAGTTGATTTTAAGGTAGTTAGTACATCTGTAGTTACTTTATAAAATACTAATGTACATCTTCATTTTCCCATTACATTCATATAGTGATCTTCTCACATAAACGGTAATGTAAACTATTTTCTGGTAACGATAGTCATACTTGGGAAAAACACTCACTTTTACAAAAGAATAAACATACAGAACAGTCGGGTCTTGGTAGAAGGCTACTCTCCAATTTTAGTAGAAAATATAGGATTTTCTAGGAGGTATACAAACATTTACATCAGACACTTACAAACTTTACATCAAACACTTACAAACGCTTTCATCAAACTTATACAAACATTTGACACTAAAATACTTATGAACTCACCAGCTTAAATGCTGATCTACTCTTTCAAAATAACTTGTATTCTCAGGTCACCAGTAGACAGGTACACTGGACCAGGTTTTGAGAAGACGGAGCATATTAAAGACTCGTCTTTTATTTTGATATATCTATTTTTGGTGTCTTACAAATACATTTAGAACACACTTGTATTAACTATATTATTAATGCAATGGATGATGTTTTTGCTTGTTTTAGTATTGTGCATTGTTATGATACTGAACATGACGTCCTCCGTCCCCGAACATTTCCGCCGTTCCGGTTTGGGGGTGTGACACATGGCTTTATCAAAAGATTCAGAATTACCTTCTGAAGCATCCAACCCATATCATTCCTTTATTGGGCGAGTCGACCATTTAACTCACTATCGCTAGCACGAAGATTGGCTACTTCAAGTTCTAGGTTGGAAACCTGACGAACCAAACGATCATGTTCCTATTGTTGGTTTTTCTTGGTAAGCTCATATTTGGTCTTATAGTTGGATGCTTCAGTGGAGGCCATGACTGCTAAACTTCAAGCCTCTTCAAGTTCAGTTTTGTACCGTCTATCAAACCCCACATTATAGGCTATAGACAACATCATGTGGGCATGGCGTCTCATGGTGAGTTCGTCAGTGCTCATCTTGTCCATTTGGAATAAAGTTACTTGTGGAAAAACAGTGGATATGAAGTCAGAGCTGTTTGTCGAGTCCAACACATCAGTTTCACAAGTAATATTCCAAGATGGATGAAAAATGCCAGTAGGATCAGCCATGCTGGATGTTTGAGGTGTCAACGAACCAAAAATAGAGCCTAAACCATCACCCAAGAATAATAGGTGAGCTTGTTGTACCAAAGGTAGTACCGCTTTGAACAGAGGGAACCTCCATGGCTACTCCTTGCATGACATTCATAAAAAACAACTCTGCTTTTACCACTAGAACCTTGACGGTGCTCCACGACTGTGATATTGGTAGTGGACACCAATTGAGCATAGTCTTTTCTCTTCTTTATGGATCGTGTATTAGCAAACTGGGCAAAGCCTGACATAAAAGTGGTCTGCCTTACAAGGCTAATAGATTAACATGCGTTATCATTATCACTCTGGTCATCGACATTGTCTTCATTAACATCCGATCTGGTTCTTTTTTTTCATCACATGCTCTTCTCCATCATTACCTTGGTAGAAATTTGGGTATACAACATCTACCTCCAGTTCGCATTCCTTCGGGTAATCACGCAGAAGAGTCCTTAACATATTCAAATATACTTTTTTTTTCTAAACACAACAAGAAAAGATAATATGAAAATCACACTTTAAATTATGGGTAATAGTTGTTAAAAATGATAGTCATTTACCATTAGCCACCACGAATAGCATGGGGACCTTGAGTCAGTTGTGTCGATCCCATACAACCCTTTTTCTAGCAGCAGCAAGAACGAGTTTGTCGATCTCATCTCCTGGTACATAATACCCTTCTATTTTGCTTAAGTCCTTACGAAGTTGAGGGTTGATAATTTTTATGGTCGGGTCATTAACCATCCTTGATGTGTCACCAAAGACCATCCCTTGGGGTACGAGGTTTTGGCTCACCCAAAAGAACTCTTTTTCCGTTTCGTAGATTATATTTTTGGATTTGCTACAATTTGTATCTCTTTATCGCGGTTGTAGAAAATATACCAATCTTCACTAGAAGATAACCTGTAGAAAATACGGAATAAGGGAACAAAAGGCTCAACCTTTTTTTGCCTTACATAGGAGCTAAAATGCCACAATTTTGAACATTGCTTTTAGCTTGAGTTGGCTTATGTGTATGAAATACTGAGATAATAAATCTTCAAGAAACTTGGAGATTAGGAAGCGAAGGCCTGCCTCCATAGTTTTGACATAAATACCCACTTTATCTGGAGGTGGATCCTTGATACGCCGAGTGGGACCAAGTAGAAGAACTCCATCCGACGGATGCAACATATTGGCCAGCCACCCATTCTAAACCTACTTGGGAAAGAGTTGAAAATATGTCTTCTATACCCAGTTCATGAGCCATCTTCTCATTACTCATGTTTTGCTACATATTTGGTAAGTGTAGTATGTGATTGTTAATTCATGCTCTTTTTATAGATGTTATATATGTGTGGTATGTGATTCTCTACAGTTGCATGCAAAGATTCCTTCTCCCAATTGATATCGACCTATGCATGCCACTTCTTCCAATGACAATATTGTCTATATTATTGATACTGACACATGCATGCAAAGATTCCTTCTCTGAGTTGACATCGACCTATGCATGCCACTTCTTCCAATTGAAATTGACCTATGTTGTTAGGTCTAATAAAGTGTTGTGTCAAATGTATGCTATTAGGGTTTGCTTATTCTGAAATGGTCCTATCCATGTTCGGATTTAGTGTCTGAATAGTCTCTATAAATAGTGTGCATGTAACTTTAGGGTCACAACTTTTGAAGCTCTCACAGAAAATTTCCATCTTCAAGAACTCTTCTAGAGCTGCGTTTAATACAATCATTCGTCACACATTTGATCATTATTGTGTCTATAATTTATTCATCTTATTAATATAGAATCTATCGATCTTTATTGTTCTCACAATTGGTATCAAAGCAGGAGATAGTGTAATCAATTCGCTATTCTTCTGTCTAGTAAAGGGTTTTGTTAGGGTTTTACATCTTTCTTAGATCTGTTCTTGTTGTCTCTGTTGGGTTATGGGCAAAACAACATTCCTATGGTGTTCATGCAAACCCTAATGCTTGGATCTAGTTTTTCTATTTGTACATGCAATAATTGTCAAAGACTTGCAAACCCTAATCTAGCATACAACAAAAAAATCGAAATCAACATAAATAAATTAGTAAGAATGTTACCTTTGATTGTTGCTTGAAGATCTTGAGCTTTTAAGAACCTTAGCACCTCAAATGTTGTGCCTCTAATAGATCACAAACACCAAAGCAAATTGGATAACCTTAGAGAGAGAGAGAGAGGGGAAGGTAATTTCGGATCTTGGAACTCTTCTTAGGGTTGTGGTAGCCAAAAATTGCAAGACAAGGGGTTCCTTATATAGGTGAGCTACTAGGGCTTCAGTCAAAACCCTAATTAGATTGCTTAGGCCTTAAGTAGTCCAAAGGATCCTTCCAGAAGGCCCCCTTGGACGATTTCTATGTGGGCTCCCACAAGGAGTTCGTCCAACCCTTCTTTAGGGTTCCTCAGCCCATATTGCAATTATCACATAATTACAAGTTCAGTCCCCTTAATTCAATTAACCTATTTTGACTACAAAACTAATTCTAAATTAATTCTTGACCAATGTTAATTAAATATATATGATTTCTCCTTTAATATATTATTCATATAAGATATTAATAAACCATAATAACCTTTTTCTCTATTATTCATCCAGCCAAGTTGCTCCGGTGAAGGCAACCCAAAAGGACCATGCTACAACCGGCTCAAGTACATACCAAATATAGTTATGGGCTTAGACACAAATCCAACTGTCTCCCACTTGGATAAGTCTAATAACTATAAATACAAGTACGACTTCAAAATCCGATTAGCAATCGTAGCTCTCAAAAGCCGTTGTTGAACTTTGACACATCCTTTAGATAAGGGATCGTATAGTCCTCCGTTCTCAAGATATCGTGTGGAAAATTACATGGAACATAGTCATACTTATTGTCCTGCAGATTGTTTCTCGGTCTCTAATTTTTCTGACATAGAACTTAATTGAACACATCAATTCAGTCCTGATCGGGCCCGACACTTAAGTCAAAACAAAATCATCGAGGGGCCCATAGATATCGCTTTTAGCCTCGTAGGATAAAAGGAACAAATAAACTTCGACTTATATGCGTGTACTATTTATTCATCAAATCGTACACAACAATGCGTTTTATAACATCAAGTTACTTATGCGTTTACACATTATCAATGCACAACCGACTTGTAAGCAACAACTCATATATCTAGGTTTAAGGACTATATGATATTATCATCTCACAATCACTCGTGATTAAATTCCATGAAGTGATTCATGTGAGTGCGGGTTTAATCCAATACTCAAATCATATTTCATAAGCACTCATGAACGTTGTAGCAAACTTTTGCTATGTCTAAACACTTAGACAATCTACAAGCCGATTCATGACAGTCTTCTTTCATACTTACTTCCAACGTATGATCGACTGTGGATAGTTTAAATAATCTTATTATTTAGGAAGTCAAAACATGCAAAGTGAAACAATAGTAAATAATTAACACAAGATAGTAACTTTACTTATAAATAATACTCCTTTATGTAATCATCAAATGTTAATTACAATTTATCTATTACAAGTTTCTAAAGCTATTTAATCACTAAAACTAATATCGTCCTTCAGCCCAATGCTCCTAGCGTGCTGCAAGTGCTTAACCCTACTCAGTCCCTTCGTAAGGGGATCTGCTGGCTTCTCTTCTAATGATACCCTCTTCACTACGAGGAGTCCCTCTTCTACCCGATGTCTAATAAAATGATATTTTCTGTCGATATTCCTAGATCTGCCATGATCCCTCGGTTCCTTAGTTAAGTCAACCGCACCTTCGTTGTGGCAGAAAATCTCCATTGGCTCCTTTATGGCCGGTACAAATCCAAGGTCTCCGATGAAGTTCCTTAGCCATATCGCCTCCCTTGATGCTTCACTCGCTGCTATGTACTCTGATTCGCACGTTGAATCAGCTACGGTCTCCTGCTTGGAACTTTTCCATGTCACTGCTCCTCCATTTAGGGTGAAGACCCAGCCCGAATGCGAACGAAAATTATCCCGGTCAGTCTGAAAACTAGCGTCACTATACCCTCACACTTTCAAGTCATCACTCCCACCGAGGATAAGAAACCATTCCTTAGTCCTCTAAAGGTACTTAAGAATATTCTTTACTGCGGTCCAATGTGCTCTACCAGGGTTCCCTTGATATCTGCTGACCATGCTCAAAGCGAAGGCCACATCAGGGCGAGTACATGTCATAGCATACATGATTGAGCCAACAGCAGAAGCATAAGGTACTCTGCTCATCTCTTCTATCTCGGCATCGGTACTCGAGCTTTGAGTCTTACTCAACATGGTATTTCTTTGGATTGGTAACTCCCCTTTCTTGGAATTTTCCATGCTGAAATGTTTCAACAGTTTATCCAAGTAAGTACTTTAACTAAGTCCTATTAATCTCTTACTCCTATTTCTCAAAATCCTTATCCCCAGAAGTAGCTTCTTCGAGGTCCTTCATAGCGAAGCACTTCCCAAGCCAGGACTTAACCTCCTGCAGGGTTGGGATGTCATTTCCTATGAGCAGTATGTCGTTCACTTACAAAACGAGAAAGCTAACTATACTCCCACTGGCTTTGACATATACACAGGACAATCCAAACTCTTTGACTTTCTCATCAAAACAAAGATTCCATCTGCGAGATGCTTGTTTCAATCCATAAATGGATTTCTCAAGCTTACACACTCTATTAGGGTGCTCTGCATTGACAAAACCCTCTGGCTGACTCATGTAAACATCTTCAGCCAACTTCCCATTAAGGAAAGCGATTTTGACATCTATTTGCCATATTTCATAGTGATGAAATGCAACTATGGCTAGCATAACCCTTATAGATTTAATCTTCGTAACTGATGAGAAGGTCTCATCATAGTCAACTCCGGGAGTTTGAGTAAAGCTCTTCGCAACCAATCGCGCCTTATACGTGTGTACTTTCCCATCCATGTCGGTCTTCTTCTTGAAGATCCATTTTCACCCAACCGTCTTACGACCTGGCACATTGTCAACCAAGTTCCAAGCTTGATTGTCATACATGGACTGAATCTCGCTGTCCATAGCCTCTTTCCATTTCGCAGACTCCGGACTTGCCATGGCTTCCTTGTATGTGTTAGGTTCATCCAAATTTATTAGTGTACTATCACTAATAAACGCACCACCCTCAGCAGTTATATGGAAACCATATAATACGGGTGGAACACTAACTCTACTAGAACGTCTAAAGGGTAGGGACTCGACAATAGGTTCAACAGGAGTTTCCTCCTCAGGTTGAGCGCCAGTGTTAGAGGTTCCTTCATCGTTTGATTCTTGAAGCTCTTCAAGATCAATTTACCTCCCACTGTCCTTTTGGCTTATGAGTTCTCGCTCTCGGAAAACCCCTATCCTCGCAATGAAGACAACATTTTCACTCGGTCTATAGAAGAGATATCCAAAGGACTTAAGCGGATAGCCGATGAAAATACATCGTTCACTTCGAGTTTCGAGATTGTCGTTAGTTGTAACGCCCGCAGATTCGGGCTAGTCAATTTAGAGACAATGAGCGTCAAAAATGACTTTTTGATGGAAGATTATTTAGAAGGAGTAATCTTAGCCAAGTTATAGTATATGTCACAAGGGTTCCGTACATATAAATAACGCCGAAATCCGAGTCAT